GTGTATCCGATAAATAGTTATTGTCTTTTTCGTAAATATCTATCAATTGCATCGATATGAAGTTTATAATTCATGTTAAGACAATGTAATCCATTCAGGACACCAAAGTCCACAAGAAGGCGAATGGAAGTGTTGCCCGTTACCGCTTGCATCGTCAAATGATTTCTTCAATTCGTTCGGCGAAACATGAGTTATGGATATTTGTTTGCAATTTGTAGTTTGCCACTTGATGTTCTCGCTGTCGGCACCGAAGAGGAGAATTTATATTTCGAAATGGACAATAAATGGCATCGCTCAAAAGTAGAGTGACCAGTGGATGGATGGATGCATCGTGGAACGTGATTCCAATGCAATATTCCAGATTATATTGTTTAGTTGTTTTGTGTGATTTATTTGCTCTCGTCTTTTTGTGTTCTCCGTTCGTTGTTGTGGCCATTGATTTTTTCCCATTTGACCCACCGACCGACCGACCGGTTGGTGGTTCGATGATGTTGACATTGTGGACAAAAGGTAGCAATATTTCGAATCACTGATAATGCTTCAATTTCGAACAGCTGCCCTGACTGCCAAGCTGGCTGGATGGAAGGAAAATGATTATAAAAAATAAATATTTACTTTATGCTGGCATCAACATCATTCGTATTATCATTATTTGTGCAAGGATTTCGATATCGAAATCATTCAATACAACTTTAAATTAAATTAGTTCAATGGAAAATAATATTCGGAATTTTCTCTGTGCAATTGTGTGGATGGCCTGCGATGTGGGTGGGTTGTCTCGACTAACATTGATGTAACGCGTTGCAGCTGCAGCGAGCTGTTGTGCATTTGGTTGCCAGGTAACCTGTACGAATGGTTTCCTGGAATGAATATTGGATACATATTGTATGAGGTAACCGCAGTTGTTTGTATTCCGTATAGAATTTGCAAAAATTTCAAAGAAAATGGAGACATTTTAAAGGATTTCAAAGAAAAATAACAATTTATTTTATTATACCCTACAACACTATGCGTTGGGGGTATTATAAGTTTGATTGGGCCAGAATTTATGTAACACCATGAAATATTGGTTTCCCATATACGAAAGTATATATGGATCTTCCTAGCTCGCCGAGCTGAGTCGATCTAGCTATGTATGTCCGTCCGTCCGTCTGTCCGTCTGTCCATGTTAATTTGTAATCACACTACAGGTCGCAATTATAGCCCGATCTTCACGAAATTTAGAATGGAGGTGGGGTTAAGGTCAGAATAGAACCCTATTTCTTTTGAAGATGATCGCATAATATTTAGGGGTTGAAATAGACCAAATACAGAAAAATGTCGGATTTTTCAGTAGCTATACAGGTCGCAATTATAGACCAATCGACGCGGAATTTCGCATGTAGCTAGAGTTTAGGGCGGGGAAGAAGTCTACTAATTTGGATGGTCATGGGATAATATTTAGCGGGTAAAATAGACCATATCTTTGGTGTTGAAAAAGTTCAACATTTTTCATTAAACCGCGAATATTTTAAATCCCGGCAAAATAACGAAGCCATGACAAGGTTACTTCTGACCTTTAAATTGATGTTAACATCCAACAAATCGGATATATAACAAAATATGTGCGATATATATGTCTATCAAAGAAGATTTGCTTGAAAGATCTCTTATATGTCGAGAACGGCTGATCTGATTTCGACAATTTTCATTAATTCAGATTGGCTTCTTGGCAGGAAAGAAAAAACGTCTAAAAAAATCGCATAAAAATTTCTATCTAAAGATGAAAATATTGATTTTGTAAAATTTTCTCATATTTTTCAATTTTGTCATATTTTTGGCATATTTTCATTTTGAATGAAACATTTGGTAATATTTCTACAGCTAACAAAACTAAGTAGTTAGGATATCAGATATCATATACAGATCGCATTTATGGCCCGATCCTTACGAAATTTTGCATGGATATAAGATGAGTGTTAGAATAGAAGCCTACTCTGTTTTGGAGATGATCGCCATATATTTAGGGGTTGAAATGGATCAAAAAACTGCCAAATTGTCAGCAGGTCGTAATTATCACCCGATACTCACGCACATTTGAATGGGGGTTACCGCACATTGCAAAAGCCAAGCAGTTTCGGATGGCCATCCAAAAATATTCAATGTGTGAAATAGTTTGCCAACTTTTGTAGACTAAATACGAAAATGTCCATTCCAGCGACTTTTTGGAGAATTCACAAATACAGGAAAGACGCACTTCTGACTATTTCGTTAACGCTGATTTCGTTGAAGAATATAGTCAAATGTCTATATCTCATATAGATGCGTTTCAGTCAATAACAAATAATAAATGTTAATCTTTTGCCACTTCTTAGAGGTTGTAGGTCGTTGGGAAATATTGGTTCCAGATCTAGGAAGACCATTTACGTGCAACATCTACCAATAAATTGGAAATGAGCAAATTAGTTTAAGTTGCTATTATTCGAAAATTAGAGAACGAAACCTAATGGTTTTCTTTTATTATTTGTCACAATATCTTGTGGAATTCTTTCGAGTATCTCGCATATATAAACTGTATCGTTTATTATAGTGTTGTAGGGTATTCAACGGTCGGCCCCGCTCGACTGTAGCCTTTGCTTACTTGTTTTCAAATATCTCTTGTTCAATTACGAGTTGGAACAGGTTTATATAAACTGCTAAAACCCTGAGTTATGTTCATAATTTTAAAATCATTTTTTATACCCTACATCACAGAGTTGTAAGGGTATTATGTCTTTGTGCATTTGTTTGTAACATGGAGAAGGAAGCGAGATAGACCCATAGTTACTTTTAAGGATCTCCACAGAATCACTTTCTGAGCTGATTTATGCATGGCAGTCCGTCTGTCCATATATTCTTGTGAACAAAATGCAGGCCGCATTTATTATCCGATTGAGATGAAATTTTCCAAACAACATTTGTTTGGCCCAAGGACGAACCCTATTGAAATTGGAGATAATTGGTAAACATTTAGATATAACTTCCATATATATCCTTGTCCGATTTGCCTTTTATTGTGCACCAAAAATGTAATATCAGCCCGAATAGTATGGAATTTTGCACATACAATCAAATTAGACCTTAAAATAAGTATGCCAAATTTGATCGAATTCGGTTCAGATATAGCTATAGCTCCCATATATATTGTTCATCCGATTTGTTATTTTTGTCCTCCGCAACTGTAATATGCACTCTGTAACAGCAATATTTGGGGAAATATATCAAATGCAGCTCTGAAATACCTTTACTAAATGTTATCGAGATCGGTTCAGATGTGGATATAGCTTCCATATATAACTTCGTCCGATTTTCCTTTTATTGTGCACCATGCGTCCTAATTGAGTCTGGAAGGTAGTATGCCAAATTTGGTGAAGATCGGTTCAGATATAGCTATAGCTCCCATATATATTGTTCATCCGATTTTTTGTATTTGTTTCCCATATCCATTATATGCACTCCTTAACTACGATATTCAGGGAAATATATCAAATACAGCTCAGATTTCAAATTAATTTTGCACCAAATGGACAATACAAGTCCGAATTTAAAAGATACAAATGCTTCTGCATATTTAGTCCTTTGAACTTTAAATGATAATTATAAACACAGGGTGTATGATTGAATTCTAGCAGCAGTTTGTAAACAAACAAAATGATCGTGTTTACTTGCCAAAGAGGTCAGCTGAAAATGTGCACTTTCGGTTGGCTACCAGAACTCAAGCGCCAGCCATGGTGATGGTGTGGGCCGCCATAACAGCCGATTGTCGCTCTCCGCTCGCACTAATCGACCATGGCATCAGAATAAATGCCGATATTATAGCGAAAATATTCTGGAGGTGGTATAAAGCCTTGGACACGCAAATATTTTGGCCGCAGACCTTGGACATTCCAACAGGACTCAGCACGTGTTACCCAAGAATGGTTACAAAATGAGATTCCTCACTTCATTTCCAGCGCACAATTGCCACCAAAATCTCTGGATACAAGTCCGATGGACCATTGTGTCTGGAGTATTTTGGAAAGCAAGGTTGACACTAAAAAATACCACAGTGTCGATCACCTCAAGCAAGCGTTTTGTCGGGAAAGGGCCAAAATACCGCAGAGCAACATTCGGGCAGCGTGTGACGCTTTCATTATCCGTTTGAAGGCCATTATTCGTGCCAAAGGTGACCAATTCGAACAAATCTAAACTTATTCTAAAATTTGATGCTATTTTTGACATTTTTTGATTTCATTCAATAAAATTAAAAAGAAAAAACAAGTAAAAAAGTTGTAAGTTCGGCCGGGCTGAGCTTTGAATACCCTCCACCATTTTCATAAAAATAAAATTCGTTAAAAATTCTGTTACAATCTTAAAAATACCGAATGTAGCCGTATATTAGGGTCTATACGATGACGTGGACCTGTATAGGCAACTTTTGTCACAAGCTTTTACAATATTCAAATGCGAAATTTGAAAGAGAATCTGCTCATAATGTAGCTAATATCATAAAAATACCGAATATTGGAAGATACCATGGGGGTTATAAAACGTGGACCCGTACAGACAATTTTCTGGCATAGGCCGTAATTCCAGTATCCATTACGAACTTCAAATAAAAAATTTGAAAAAATTCCGATAAAATATCGAATATCGGGGGTACCGTTATATGGGGGCTATACGAAGACGTGGACCTGCACAGACTATTTTTTGTCATAGGCTGTAGTATCCATTATGAACTTCTAATTCCAAATTTGAAACAATTCCGGTAAAAAATGTCGCTAAATTTATCTGAATATCGAATATCGGGGGGTACCGTTATATGGGGGCTATATGCAAACGTGGACTAACACGGCTCATTTTCTGCCTTAGGATGTAGTATCCATTACGAACTTCAAATACTAAATTTGGAACAATTCCGGTAAAGAATGTCTCTAATTAGGATAAATTTATAGAATTGTAAGTGTTTGTATGTGGAACTGGGGCATTCCCAAATCTCGGGGTTTATTTTCAAAATTTTACATGTAGACCCACATCTTAACTAAAATTGCAATGTTTAAAATCAGTGTTCGTACACAAATTCTACTTTGTGAAACGCCTCTGGATCCGAATGATTTATAAACAATTCCTTGTGGTGGTCTTTGAGTTACAAGTTTCTTTATTAAAGGCGTGCCACCCTTGTGCTCTAGATATTCAACTTGTTGGACCTGTAGAGAAATGATAGAAAACTTATGTGATTTGCAATTTCGAATTTAACAAAACTTACAAAATCAACTCCCACCTCAATGGGGGAGATAAAGTCGAACCACACAACATCTTTGGTATTCATGGAATAACAGGTTGAACCGTGATAGGAGTAGAACTGGCTGAGGTTTTTATTTAAAACTTCTGCCAACAGTGGAATTGTGTCCGTCGGAAGATAAACATATCGGAATGAACTTCTTACCAGCGGCAAATGTTGGGCGATGTGGTCAAAAAATTTTAGATCCGTTTCTGAGACAACCTGAATTGGGGAAATTTGACAGGGAAATGTAATTTAATTTAAAAATAAATATTTCAAATTATCACCTTAAAGGGAAACGTCAATACCATCAGAGCATAGTTCTGGACACCATTCGATTCTCGAATATCTTCGTAGTTTGTGTTGTACAACAGCAAATGCAATTCGGCTGGAAATTTGATGTCTCCTAAATCGTATTTGGGATCGCTTTTTTCGAACCAAAACCAGAAAATTTGCTCAAGAGTATAATTCCCGTGTTCCGCCAAAGGTCCATCATAAACAGTCGGTTGATTCCCATCCTCATAGTTAATTCGTATTATAAGACTGCCCTCCGAATTTAACATCTGGGCAGACGTGGGTTCGGCATCGAAATTATCCAAAGCAAAAGGTCTGAAGTGTCGGTGTTGGATGTTCAGGCCATGTTCTTTGAAAGGTCTAAGATGTTTACCCATACAGTCGGATGCCTTTACACCGGAAGTTGGTAATCCTTAAACGAATTTTAATGGTTATTAGTTTAGCGAAAATTACTTTGAAAAACAAATAATTAAAAAACGCCAAAAACTACTTTAAAAAGCTAAAAACTTAATTTAAAAATATTCAATAATTCATGGCTAAAAAAGGATCACAAATAATAGCTGAAAGCGCCGAAAACTCAATAATTAAGGAGTTATGGCCATTTTAAAATATGCAATAATTCATGCCTCAAAAAAACCGAAAACTCAATATTTAAGGAGTTATGGCCATTTTAAAATATGCGATAATTCATGCTTAAAAAAGTAATCACAAATAATAGCTAAAAACGCCGAAAACTCAATATTTAAGGAGTTATGGCCATTTTAAAATATGCATTATAATTCATACCTAAAAAAGTGATCAAAATAATAGCTAAAAACACCGAAAACTCAATATTTAACGAGTTATGGCCATTTTAAAATATGCATTATTTTATGCTTAAAAAAGTGATCACAAATAATAGCTAAAAACACCGAAAACTCAATACTTAAAAAAAAGTGATCACAAATAATAGCTAAAAACGCCGAAAACTCAATATTTAAGGAGTTATGGCCATTTTAAAATATGGAATAATTCATGCCTAAAAAAGTGATCACAAATAATAGCTAAAAACGCCGAAAACTCAATATTTAAGGAGTTATGGCCATTTTAAAATATGCATTATAATTCATACCTAAAAAAGTGATCAAAATAATAGCTAAAAACGCCGAAAACTCAATATTTAACGAGTTATGGCCATTTTAAAATATGCATTATTTTATGCTTAAAAAAGTGATCACAAATAATAGCTAAAAACACCGAAAACTCAATACTTAAAAAAAAGTGATCACAAATAATAGCTAAAAAAAGCCGAAAACTCAATATTTAAGGAGTTATGGCCATTTTAAAATATGGAATAATTCATGCCTAAAAAAGTGATCACAAATAATAGCTAAAAACGCCGAAAACTCAATATTTAAGGAGTTATGGCCATTTTAAAATATGCATTATAATTCATACCTAAAAAAGTGATCAAAATAATAGCTAAAAACGCCGAAAACTCAATATTTAACGAGTTATGGCCATTTTAAAATATGCATTATTTTATGCTTAAAAAAGTGATCACAAATAATAGCTAAAAACACCGAAAACTCAATACTTAAAAAAAAGTGATCACAAATAATAGCTAAAAAAAGCCGAAAACTCAATATTTAAGGAGTTATGGCCATTTTAAAATATGGAATAATTCATGCCTAAAAAAGTGATCACAAATAATAGCTAAAAACGCCGAAAACTCAATATTTAAGGAGTTATGGCCATTTTAAAATATGCATTATAATTCATACCTAAAAAAGTGATCAAAATAATAGCTAAAAACGCCGAAAACTCAATATTTAACGAGTTATGGCCATTTTAAAATATGCATTATTTTATGCTTAAAAAAGTGATCACAAATAATAGCTAAAAACACCGAAAACTCAATACTTAAAAAAAAGTGATCACAAATAATAGCTAAAAAAAGCCGAAAACTCAATATTTAAGGAGTTATGTCCATTTTAAAATATGTAATAATTCATGCCTAAAAAAGTGATCACAAATAATAGCTAAAAACGCCGAAAACCCAAAATTTAAGGAGTTATGGCCATTTTAAAATATGGAATAGTTCATGCCTAAAAAAGTGATCACAAATAATAGCTAAAAACGCAGAAAACTCAATATTTAAGGAGTTATGGCCATTTTAAAATATGCGATAATTCATGCTTAAAAAAGTAATCACAAATAATAGCTAAAAACGCCGAAAACTCAATATTTATGGAGTTATGGCCATTTTAAAATATGCATTATAATTCATGCCTAAAAAAGTGATCACAAATAATAGCTAAAAACGCCGAAAACTCTATATTTAAGGAGTTATGTCCATTTTAAAATATGGAATAATTCATGCCTAAAAAAGTGATCACAAATGATAGCTAAAAACGCCGAAAACTCAATATTTAAGGAGTTATGGCCATTTTAAAATAAGCAATAATTCATACATAAAAAAGTGATCACAAATAATAGCTAAAAACGCCGAAAACTCAATATTTAAGGAGTTATGGCCATTTTAAAATATGAAATAATTCATGCCTAAAAAAGAGATCACAAATGATAGCTAAAAACGCCGAAAACTCTATATTTAAGGAATTATGGCCATTTTAAAATATGCAATAATTCATGCCTAAAAAAGTGATCACAAATAATAGCTAAAAACGCCGAAAACACAATATTTAAGGAGTTATGGCCATTTTAAAATAAGCAATAATTCATACACAAAAAAGTGATCACAAATAATAGCTAAAAACGCCGAAAACTCAATATTTAAGGAGTTATGGCCATTTTAAAATAAGCAATAATTCATACATAAAAAAGTGATCACAAATAATAGCTAAAAACGCCGAAAACTCAATATTTAAGGAGTTATGGCCATTTTAAAATATGCAAAAATTCATGCCTAAAAAAAGTGATCACAAATAATAGCTAAAAACGCCGAAAACTCTATATTTAAGGAGTTATGGCCATTTTAAAATAAGCAATAATTCATACATAAAAAAGTGATCACAAATAATAGCTAAAAACGCCGAAAACTTAATATTTAAGGAGTTATGGTCATTTTAAAATATGCAATAATTCATGCCTAAAAAGGTGATCACAAATAATAGCTAAAAACGCCGAAAACTCAATATTTAAGGAGTTATGGCCATTTTAAAATATGCAATAATTCATGCCTAAAAAAGTGATCACAAATAATAGCTAAAAACGCCAAAAACTCAATATTTAAGGAGTTATGGCCATTTTAAAATAAGCAATAATTCATGCCTAAAAAAGTGATCACAAATAATAGCTAAAAACGCAGAAAACTCAATATTTAAGGAGTTATGGCCATTTTAAAATAAGCAATAATTCATACATAAAAAAAGTGATCACAAATAATAGCTAAAAACGCCGAAAACTCAATATTTAAGGAGTTATGGCCATTTTAAAATAAGCAATAATTCATACATAAAAAAGTGATCACAAATAATAGCTAAAAACGCCGAAAACTCAATATTTAAGGAGTTATGGCCATTTTAAAATATGCAATAATTTATGCCTAAAAAAGTGATCACAAATAATAGCTAAAAAACGCCGAAAACTCAATATTTAAGGAGTTATGGCCATTTTAAAATATGCAATAATTCATGCCTAAAAAAGTGATCACAAATAATAGCTAAAAACGCCGAAAACTCAATATTTAAGGAGTTATGGCCATTTTAAAATATGCAATAATTCATGCCTAAAAAAGTGATCACAAATAATAGCTAAAAACTCCGAAAACTCAATATTTAAGGAGTTATGGCCATTTTAAAATATGCAATAATTCATGCCTAAAAAAGTGATCACAAATAATAGCTAAAAACGCCGAAAACTCAATATTTAAGGAGTTATGGCCATTTTAAAATAAGCAATAATTCATACACAAAAAAGTGATCACAAATAATAGCTAAAAACGCCGAAAACTCAATATTTAAGGAGTTATGGCCATTTTAAAATAAGCAATAATTCATACATAAAAAGTGATCACAAATAATAGCTAAAAACGCCGAAAACTCAATATTTAAGGAGTTATGGCCATTTTAAAATATGCAATAAATTATGCATAAAAAAGTGATCACAAATAATAGCTAAAAACGCCGAAAACTCAATATTTAAGGAGTTATGGCCATTTTAAAATATGCAATAATTCATGCCTAAAAAAGTGATCACAAATAATAGCTAAAAACGCCGAAAACTCAATATTTAAGGAGTTATGGCCATTTTAAAATAAGCAATAATTCATACATAAAAAAGTGATCACAAATAATAGCTAAAAACGCCGAAAACTCAATATTTAAGGAGTTATGGCCATTTTAAAATAAGCAATAATTCATACATAAAAAAAGTGATCACAAATAATAGCTAAAAACGCCGAAAACTCAATATTTAAGGAGTTATGGCCATTTTAAAATATGCAATAATTCATGCCTAAAAAAGTGATCACAAATAATAGCTAAAAACGCCGAAAACTCAATATTTAAGGAGTTATGGCCATTTTAAAATATGCAATAATTCATGCCTAAAAAAGTGATCACAAATAATAGCTAAAAACGCCGAAAACTCAATATTTAAGGAGTTATGGCCATTTTAAAATATGAAATAATTCATACACAAAAAAGTGATCACAAATAATAGCTAAAAACGTCGAAAACTCTATATTTAAGGAGTTATGGCCATTTTAAAATATGCAAAAATTCATGCCTAAAAAAGTGATCACAAATAATAGCTAAAAACGCCGAAAACTCTATATTTAAGGAGTTATGGCCATTTTAAAATAAGCAATAATTCATGCCTAAAAAAGTGATCACAAATAATAGGTAAAAACGCCGAAAACTCAATATTTAAGGAGTTATGGCCATTTTAAAATATGCAATAATTCATGCCTAAAAAGTGATCACAAATAATAGCTAAAAACGCCGAAAACTCAATATTTAAGGAGTTATGGCCATTTTAAAATATGCAATAATTCATGTCTAAAAATTGATCACAAATAATAGCTAAAAACGCCGAAAACTCAATATTTAAGGAGTTATGGCCATTTTAAAATAAGCAATAATTCATGCCTAAAAAAGTGATCACAAATAATAGCTAAAACGCCGAAAACTTAATATTTAAGGAGTTATGGCCATTTTAAAATATGCAATAATTCATGCCTAAAAAGGTGATCACAAATAATAGCTAAAAAACGCCGAAAACTCAATATTTAAGGAGTTATGGCCATTTTAAAAATATGCAATAATTCATGCCTAAAAAAGTGATCACAAATAATAGCTAAAAACGCCAAAAACTCAATATTTAAGGAGTTATGGCCATTTTAAAATAAGCAATAATTCATGCCTAAAAAAGTGATCACAAATAATAGCTAAAAAACGCCGAAAACGC